ATGTGGACTAATCCCCACCCGTTCCATCTGCACGGTGTACAGTAGTACTGTAGACTAATCCCCACCCGTTCCATCTGCACGGTGTACGGCAGCAGTGTGGAATAATCCCTACGCGTTCCATCTGCGCGGTGTACAGCAGCAATGTGGACTAATCCCCACCCGTTCCATCTGCACGGTGTACAGTAGCATTGCGGACTAATCCCCACCCGTTCCATCTGCACGGTGTACAGTAGCATTGTGGACTAATCCCCATCCGTTCCATCTGCACGGTGTACAGTAGCATTGTGGACTAATCCCCACCCGTTCCATCTGCACGGTGTACAGTAGCATTGTGGACTAATCCCCACCCGTTCCATCTGCACGGTGTACAGTAGCATTGTGGACTAATCCCCACCCGTTCCATCTGCACGGTGTACAGTAGCATTGTGGACTAATCCCCACCCGTTCCATCTGCACGGTGTACAGTAGCAGTGTGGACTAATCCCCACCCGTTCCATCTGCACGGTGTACAGTAGCTCTGTGGACTAATCCCCACCCGTTCCATCTGTACGGTGTACAGTAGCTCTGTGGACTAATCCCCACCCGTTCCATCTGCACGGTGTACAGCAGCATTGTGGACTAATCCCCACCCGTTCCATCTGTACGGTGTACAGTAGCTCTGTGGACTAATCCCCACCCGTTCCATCTGCACGGTGTACAGTAGCTCTGTGGACTAATCCCCACCCGTTCCATCTGCACGGTGTACAGTAGCTCTGTGGACTAATCCCCACCCGTTCCATCTGCACGGTGTACAGCAGCATTGTGGACTAATCCCCACCCGTTCCATCTGTACGGTGTACAGTAGCTCTGTGGACTAATCCCCACCCGTTCCATCTGCACGGTGTACAGTAGCTCTGTGGACTAATCCCCACCCGTTCCATCTGCACGGTGTACAGCAGCATTGTGGACTAATCCCCATCCGTTCCATCTGCACGGTGTACAGCAGCAATGTGGACTAATCCCCACCCGTTCCATCTGCACGGTGTACAGTAGCTCTGTGGACTAATCCCCATCCGTTCCATCTGCACGGTGTACAGCATCAGTGTGGACTAATCCCCACCCGTTCCATCTGCACGGTGTACAGCAGCATTGTGGACTAATCCCCATCCGTTCCATCTGCACGGTGTACAGCATCAGTGTGGACTAATCCCCACCCGTTCCATCTGCACGGTGTACAGTAGCTCTGTGGACTAATCCCCACCCGTTCCATCTGCACGGTGTACAGTAGTACTGTAGACTAATCCCCACCCGTTCCATCTGCACGGTGTACAGTAGCATTGTGGACTAATCCCCACCCGTTCCATCTGCACGGTGTACAGTAGCAATGTAGACTAATCCCCACCCGTTCCATCTGCACGGCAGCAATGTGGACTAATCCCCACCCGTTCCATCTGCACGGTGTACAGTAGCATTGTGGACTAATCCCCACCCGTTCCATCTGCACGGTGTACAGTAGCAGTGTAGACTAATCCCCACCCGTTCCATCTGCACGGCAGCAATGTGGACTAATCCCCACCCGTTCCATCTGCACGGTGTACAGTAGTACTGTAGACTAATCCCCACCCGTTCCATCTGCACGGTGTACGGCAGCAGTGTGGACTAATCCCCACCCGTTCCATCTGCACGGTGTACAGTAGCAATGTAGACTAATCCCCACCCGTTCCATCTGCACGGCAGCAATGTGGACTAATCCCCACCCGTTCCATTTGCACGGTGTACAGTAGTACTGTAGACTAATCCCCACCCGTTCCATCTGCACGGTGTACAGCAGCAATGTGGACTAATCCCCACCCGTTCCATCTGCACGGTGTACAGTAGCATTGCGGACTAATCCCCACCCGTTCCATCTGCACGGTGTACAGTAGCAGTGTGCACTAATCTCCACCCGTTCCATCTGCACGGTGTACAGTAGCATTGTGGACTAATCCCCACCCGTTCCATCTGCACGGTGTACAGTAGCTCTGTGGACTAATCCCCACCCGTTCCATCTGCACGGTGTACAGCAGCATTGTGGACTAATCCCCATCCGTTCCATCTGCACGGTGTACAGCATCAGTGTGGACTAATCCCCACCCGTTCCATCTGCACGGTGTACAGTAGCTCTGTGGACTAATCCCCACCCGTTCCATCTGCACGGTGTACAGTAGTACTGTAGACTAATCCCCACCCGTTCCATCTGCACGGTGTACGGCAGCATTGTGGACTAATCCCCACTCGTTCCATCTGCACGGTGTACAGTAGCTCTGTGGACTAATCCCCACCCGTTCCATCTGCACGGTGTACGGCAGCAGTGTGGACTAATCCCCACCCGTTCCATCTGCACGGTGTACAGCAGCAATGTGGACTAATCCCCACCCGTTCCATCTGCGCGGTGTACAGCAGCATTGTGGACTAATCCCCACCCGTTCCATCTGCACGGTGTACAGTAGCAGTGTGGACTAATCCCCACCCGTTCCATCTGCACGGTGTACAGCAGCACTGTAGACTAATCCCCACCCGTTCCATCTGCACGGTGTACAGTAGCAATGTGGACTAATCCCCACCCGTTCCATCTGCACGGTGTACAGCAGCTCTGTGGACTAATCCCCACCCGTTCCATCTGCACGGTGTACAGCAGCAGTGTGAACTAATCCCCACCCATTCCATCTGCACGGTGTACAGCAGCATTGTGGACTAATCCCCACCCGTTCCATCTGCACGGTGTACAGCAGCATTGTGGACTAATCCCCACCCGTTCCATCTGCACGGTGGAGAGAGTTGTCTCCGAGCACACACGTGGATTTTCTGCGAGTGTTCTGCGGTTTCTCATCGCGCGAACATCAACGCTCATTAGTTTGCCAAAAAAAATACGAATATACAGAGAACCGCAGAGTTTGGGCAATTGTTAGTAGCGCCGACTCACCAAGGTGGCCGCATGTTAACTACCTCACCTGGTATACAGGAGGTCGTGAGTTCGATCCAGACCCTGATGCCTGCGTGGTCGCCTGGACTTTTCTCGGGTTTTCCCCACCGCGTTTATAATGAACGCACGTTTTGAGTTATTCGACCGCTATAAATTGGCACGCGATGGTAAGCCACTTCGTTGGGCCATCATTTGTGACTCGGTTGCTTCTTCAAAATAGCTATACAATATAGCTCAGTTGGGGCCTTACCTGAATAAAAAACAGGTGAACAGGTTGACTTCTGTTGCTGCCTTCCCCGCTTCCCGTTTGTGCTTCCTCTTCTTGGTGCCTCTGAGTCGTCCTCTCTCTCTCTCTCTACAACAGCGAGGTGGGGGGGGGCAGCGGGAGTGGGGGGCCAGGGAAGAGTGCGAGATACAGGGACTCATCGACTTACGAACATTCGACTTACGAACTTTCAGAGATACGAACAGACCGGTCCATATGTCCAGTTGCCTGTTCGGACTGAGAGTCGTGAGTTCAACCCCCACGCAATAGATGGCGGTGGTGGCATGGACATCTGCAGAACGTGAAGAACCAGTGGCATCTACATCTACAGAACGTGAAGAACCAGTGGCATCTACATCTGCAGAAGGTGAAGAACCAGTGGCATCTACATCTACAGAACGTGAAGAACCAGTGACATCTACATCTACAGAACGTGAAGAACCAGTGGCATCTACATCTGCAGAAGGTGAAGAACCAGTGGCATCTACATCTGCAGAACGTGAAGAACCAGTGGCATCTACATCTGCAGAAGGTGAAGAACCAGTGGCATCTACATCTACAGAACGTGAAGAACCAGTGGCATCTACATCTGCAGAAGGTGAAGAACCAGTGGCATCTACATCTGCAGAACGTGAAGAACCAGTGGCATCTACATCTGCAGAACGTGAAGAACCAGTGGCATCTACATCTGCCCAGTATTTAGTGTACATGCCATACAACACGTTTGGAATCGACAGGAGTAAAGTTGGACTTACGAACAATTCGACTTCCAAACCGACATCTGGAACCCAACTCGTTCGTAAGAGTTGATCGCATTGCCACTCGCTCCGCATTGAAACACTCGCTTAGAGTTTCTTCAACGTTGACTGCATCGTGCCCTTCCCCCCTGCCTCGTCCCCCACCCCCCGCTCGCCTCCCCCCCGGTTACCCCCCCACCCTAAACAAAGTGACGGCTGCAGCGTTGGCAGCGCAGGTGTTGGCGTGACGGGAATTAAGGTTGCTGGGAAGTTCAGAGCTCGGCTGGGTTTGACGACTCCAGTCAGAGTCACCGTCTGAGCCGCGGGGAGCTTTGTTCCTTCGGGAGCTCGGGGGGGTGTGAAAGTCTTTGTAGATCCTCTCTCTCTCTTTGTCTGTCTTTAAAAAGTCTCTCTCTCTCTGTGTCTATCTGTCAGTTCGTCCATGTTCCTTCCGGAGCTCTGGGTGGGGGGGGGGGGGGGTGTGTGAACGTCTTTGTAGATCCTCTCTCTGTCTGTCTTTAAAACGTCTCTCTCTCTGTGTCTGTCTGTCAGTTCGTCCATGTGTCCGTTCCTCTGCACCGCCATCCCTCCGCCTATAGCGTGGGTTACTATGCCGCTCGTGGAGGTGACCCAACGACGGATGATTTCCTATCTGCGAGACCGAGCCCTCAACAGGGGTCGAGGATTTCAACGCGCGCGTCGGCGTCTGCGAGTGTCCGTGCGAGCGAGCGCGCGCGCATGCGGGAGAGTGGTGGCGCATCGGTTAGCGCGCCGCGCTACGTGCCCCGGCGGAGCCGAGTTCGATTCCCGCAACACGGCCACCAACACCGGCGGCGATGTTCTGCACAGGTCCTGGGTCTCCTCTAGGTCGACTCAGCCTCAAATGAGTACCTGGCGCGGTGTGTAAACATCGCCACTGGGGGAGACAAAGGCGGCCGTGTGCAGTACCGGCCCACCCACCCACCCCGTGGCGGCCTTCATCAGTGCTCTTGCCCCCAACAGTATGTTAAGGCTATACCGGCGGGTTGTTGAACCTTTGTCTTTGTGCTCAGGAACTTGACGGACACGGGCTCCTACATCAAGCGCTGCTGCAAGGGCTTCTGCATCGACATCCTCAAGAAGCTCGCCAAGGGAGTGGGGTTCACCTTCGACCTCTACCTCGTGTCCAACGGAAAGCACGGCAAGATGGTGCAGGGCCTGTGGAACGGCATGGTCGGAGAGGTGAGCGAGAGGGAGGGAGAGAGCGAGCGAGCGAGAGAGTGAGCGAGAGAGTGAGCGAGAGAGTGACCGAGAGAGCGAGCGAGAGGGCGAGCGAGAGGGCGAGAGAGCGAGCGAGCGAGTGAGCGAGAGAGTGAGTGAGAGAGTGACCGAGAGAGCGAGAGAGTGAGCGAGAGAGTGACCGAGAGAGCGAGCGAGAGGGCGAGCGAGAGGGCGAGCGAGAGAGCGAGCGAGCGAGAGAGTAAGTGAGAGAGTGACCGAGAGAGTGAGCGAGAGAGCGAGCGAGCGAGTGAGCGAGAGGTGGGGCTTTACATAAAGCAGAATTTAAAAATGTTAATGTATTTAATAAAACATTATTACGAAATGATGAACGAAGCGAAGTGCCGAATACACCGAGCATCTTCTTGTTTCCACTGATCGTAAAAAAAAAGAGAGCGAGAATACGCGGCTGACCCACGCCGTGCCGGCCTTCAAGGAGCAGTGGGCGATGGAGGAGGCCGTGTGCTCGGTGGCAGATGACGGGGAGCTCTGCATGCAGTTATGAGCTACCCGTCGGAGGCCGTCGGACTGCGAGAAGAGCTGCGTGCAGAACGAGAGAGACTGAGCGAGAGAGTGACCGAGAGAGTGAGCGAGAGAGAGAGACCGAGAGAGTGAGCGAGAGAGTGAGCGAGAGAGTGAGCGAGAGAGTGAGCGAGGGAGTGAGCGAGAGAGTGAGCGAGAGAGTGAGTGAGAGAGTGAGCGAGAGAGTGACCGAGAGAGTGAGTGAGAGAGTGACCGAGAGAGTGAGCGAGAGAGTGACCGAGAGAGTGAGCGAGAGAGAGAGACCGAGAGAGTGAGCGAGAGAGTGAGCGAGAGAGTGACCGAGAGAGTGAGCGAGAGAGTGAGCGAGCGAGTGACCGAGAGAGTGAGCGAGAGAGTGACCGAGAGAGTGAGCGAGAGAGTGAGCGAGAGAGTGAGCGAAAGGTGGGGGTTTACATAAAGCAAAGTTTCAAAATGTAAAAAAAAAATGACGAAATTATGAACGAAGCAAAGTGCCGACTACACCGAGCATCTTCTTGTTTCAACTGATCGTAAAAAAAAAGAGAGCGAGAATACGCGGCTGACCCACGCCGTGCCGGCCTTCATGGAGCAGTGGGCGCTGGAGGAGGGCCGTGTGCTCGGTGGCAGGAGACGGGGAGCTCTGCGTGGAGACACGAGCTACCCGTCGGAGGCCGTAGGACTGCGAGAAGGGCTGCGTGCAGATGCAGCACTTGTCGTAGTAACAAAAATATGTACATAGAAAACAGGGGGAGCATAGACATGGAGTAGGGAGAGAGACATTTAAACTAAAAATGGTCTATTTGTTTGTGTTTCTCCCTTGTGATGGGTCTTTGTAGGATGAATGTTGATATGTATAAGGACACGGGGTGACCAATAAGGTGTCTGAATTGGGCTGCAATAAGTTGGAGCACTTATGAGGGGTTGGCAGGTATGAACATAATCTTCCGGTCAGGGCACGCGCAGCGAACCGTCGGACATCGTGCCAAACGATGCGAGGTGTGGGGGGGAAGGGCGAGTTCCTCGTCGGATGTGGGGAGAGGAGAGAAGCCGGAAGAAAACCTACAGCGGACGCTCGCAATGTCCCCGTGACGACGCCATCATCATCAGACCCGAGAGTCAATTTCTAAAAAAAATTATATAAATTTAAAATCGCAGCAAGCCAGCCAGCCAGCCAGCAGGCATTATCGTTAGCCGAACGTTTTTTATTCAATTTCCATTGCAACTCATTTACGATTCGTAATCAGCTGGCAATTTGATTTTAATTGGATGCTGCAACCGGGGAGGGAAATGCGATGCAGAGTTGTTGGGTGAATTATTCTTTGGTTTTTTCGGTAAAGTCACGTATAAAAAATAAAAGAATAAATTAAATAATAGCATACGACGTTTCGATTGCAACACAAGCAATCATCATCAGGTATAATGAAATAGCGACATAGAATCTAACCAGAAAACTATAGACAGACATGTAAGCAGACAGATATCACCAAGATATACGTGACTTTACCGAAAAAAAACAAAGAATAATTCCTGCAGTCACGAAAGCTCCAAAAATTAAGATTGTTGGGTGAAATATCAACGGGCGGAGCGCGAACGGAAGGAAGGGCCATGGCAGATGATGTCTGTGTGAGAAAGAACGCGGCTCACATAGAGAGATAGAAATATAGACTAACATTGCCCATAGACTAGCATTGCCCATAGACTAGCATTGCCCATAGACTAGCATTATCCATAGACTAGCATTGCCCATAGAATAGCATTGCTCATAGACTAGCATTGCCCATAGACTAGCATTGCCCATAGACTAGCGTTGCCCATAGAAAAGCATTGCCCATAGAATAACATTGCCCATAGACTAACATTGCCCATAGACTAACATTGCCCATAGACTAACATTGCCCATAGACTAGCATTGCCCATAGACTAACACTGCCCATAGACTAGCATTGCCCATAGACTAACATTGGCCATAGACTAACATTGCCCATAGACTAACATTGGCCATAGACTAACACTGCCCATAGACTAACATTGCCCATAGACTAACATTTCCACATATACTAACATTGCACCATAGACTAACATTGCCCATAGACTAACTTTTCCCATAGACTAACACTGCCCATAGACTAACATTGCCCATAGACTAACATTGCCCATAGACTAACACTGCCCATAGACTAACATTGCCCATAGACTAACACCGCCCATAGACTAACATTGCCCATAGACTAACACCGCCCATAGACTAACATTGCTCATAGACTAACATTGCCCATAGACTAACATTGGCCATAGACTAGCATTGCACCATAGACTAACATTGCCCATAGACTAACATTGCCCATAGACTAACATTGCCCATAGACTAACATTTCCACATATACTAACATTGCACCATAGACTAACATTGCCCATAGACTAACTTTTCCCATAGACTAACACTGCCCATAGACTAACATTGCCCATAGACTAACATTGGCCATAGACTAACACCGCCCATAGACTAACATTGCTCATAGACTAACATTGCCCATAGACTAACATTGGCCATAGACTAGCATTGCACCATAGACTAACATTGCCCATAGACTAACATTGCCCATAGACTAACATTGCCCATAGACTAGCATTGCCCATAGACTAACATTGGCCATAGACTAGCATTGCACCATAGACTAACATTGCCCATTGACTAACATTGCCCATAGACTAACATTGGCCATAGACTAACACTGCCCATAGACTAACATTGCCCATAGACTAACATTTCCACATATACTAACATTGCACCATAGACTAACATTGCCCATAGACTAACTTTTCCCATAGACTAACACTGCCCATAGACTAACATTGCCCATAGACTAACATTGCCCATAGACTAACACTGCCCATAGACTAACATTGCCCATAGACTAACACCGCCCATAGACTAACATTGCCCATAGACTAACACCGCCCATAGACTAACATTGCTCATAGACTAACACTGCCCATAGACTAACATTGCCCATAGACTAACATTGCCCATAGACTAACACTGCCCATAGACTAACATTGCCCATAGACTAACATTGCACCAAAGACTAACATTGCCCATAGACTAACATTGCACCATAGACTAACATTACCCATAGACTAACATTACCCATAGACTAACATTGCCCCATAGACTAAAATTGCACCAAAGACTAACATTGCCCATAGACTAACATTGCCCATAGACTAACATTGCCCATAGACTAACATAGCCCATAGACTAACATTGCCCATAGACTAACATTGCCCCATAGACTAACATTGTCACATAGACTAACATTGCCCATAGACTAACATTGCACCATAGACTAACACTGCCCATAGACTAACATTACCCATAGACTAACATTACCCATAGACTAACATTGCCCCATAGACTAACATTGCCTATAGACTAACACTGCCCGGCCACCTTTGGCTCCCCAAGTCGGCTTTGTTAACACATAGCTACAGGCGCTCATTTCACCTGATTATTTCGCCAAATGTATATGTTTTTATTTTACCAGGTAAGGCGCACCGAGCTAAAGAACCTCTCTTTCAGAAGCGACCTGGCCACGAACAGATAGGCTCAACGAAGTGGCTTATCACGTGGAAATTTACAACATCCAAATACTCTTCTTGTTTCTTTCGGTAAAGTCACCACGTAGAAGGGAAGTAATAAAATAATACAAATAAGACAGCGTCTGACAGACCTGTTCTTCACCTGAGGACGGCTGCTTGCATTGTGGCCGAAACGTCGTAAGAATTGTATTTTATTATACAATTCTCAGGTCTGTCGGGAAGACTCTTCCCGACAGACCTGGTCTTCACCTGAGGACGGCTGCTTGCGTTGTGGCCGAAACGTCGTGAGAATTATTTTATGTTTTATTTTTATTATTTTATTATTTCCCTTCTACATGACTTTACCGAAAGAACCAAGAAGATGAATCCCTGCAGTCACGAAAGCTTTAAATCGAAATCCCAATAATCATTTGAAGCTGAAGTTTGACTGACCTCCATGGAGGTCCAGGTCCGGTTCAGATAATCGTCACTGGTGTTGGTGGCCACGGGTGGGAACCAAACTCGGGTTCATAGCCGGGTTTCGGAGCGCCGCATCACGCCGCAATTCCATTCCAATCACGTGCATTTCTACATTCGGCCGGCGAAATATATTGAGTGCAAGTCCGAGCACGCGTCCTGTGGAGCCTCCGCAGAGTGCGTCTTTCTGTTTCTCCTTTGCATTTTCTGAGCTTAATGGCCCCGTCGCGGGAAGCCGTTGCGTCGTCCAGGGAAGCCGATTAGAAACGTAGCTTTACACCAGCGAGACATCTTCGCCCGCGCCCATGTGGATCGTAACGGGAGGTATCGCGATTTGCGGTGAGCCCGCGGCTCGAGGTTCGCGATCGGGGTCAGAGGTCAACCTCAGCTCTCTGAAGTTGGAGCTG